CCCCCCCCCCCCCCATTGTTGTGGATCGTCTTCCTTTTTCAGGAGACTTGACCTTGGAATAGATATTATTGCTAATTGTTAGAAGTTATAGTGGTTCAGTCCGAACATGAGAGGAAATTCTGCTTGCTGTGTGAACCTTCAAAGTGAACTGGAACAGCTTTTGTTTGATCTTCTGATTATTTATCTAGCACAATGTGCTACTTATAGTGCATTACAAGGAAGCTAGAGTATGGTGGTGTGTGTGTTCTGTTCCTCCCTGCCTCAAAATGTCAACACTGGCTGAAGCAAACAGTTCCAGGCTTCTATTTAAAGAGAAGAAGAAGCTGCATGGAGAATATAAGCAGCTATTTTAATTTTGCTCTTACACGTGCAATTTTTTCCACCTTGGCATTTCCCTAGAGAAGCATAATTCAGAGGTGTTTCACATTTATTCCTGTCACTTCTAACCCTTGTCCTAATGTAGCCCATAAACCCCTTTCTGAGTTAGCTCTCACTCCTTCATTGTGTAGTCACCTTGGGGCTGTGCAGTAGTTGCGGTACTGCTGACTGTTTGTAAAATTTTTAGTTTTGTAGCTGATGAGAAAGTTCTTTAATTCTTCACTCTGTCAGTGTGCTCAAATGTTTTCCTTTGCCTTAAAGGAGCTGAAGAAGTATGGAGTGACAACCTTGGTGCGAGTTTGTGATGCCACTTATGATCAAGCTCCTATCGAAAAAGAAGGAATCCAGGTTCTAGTGAGTTGCCTTTAAAACTGTCTAAAAATGATAAGTTACGTGTCTAGAAGTGGTGGGGATGGCCTTCACGTTTTGGGCAAGAGCTTATGACTGTTTCAGGTTGACCAAAAGCAATGTGATGCGCAGCATCAGCTAAAGCTGTTTTTGAGAAACTCACTGTAGTTTTGTGAAAGCTACTTGCTGATTCATTACTATTGCCTGAGCGCTTTAGTTGGAATAGAAGTGTCTATTCCTGGATTTTGGGATTTGTTGAGGTATGTTGATTGCCTTTTAGTGAGTGGTTCGATACTAATCTGGTGTTCGGCCTTGTGGTTCATACCACAAGGTATGGTCCTTGCATACCATAAGGATTTGGTCCTTATCTCTAGATACAGCACTTCTTGGCTTTACTGTTGACCTTCTCAGGGTCCAGATAAAACTCCCTTCTCTCGCTTTTTCAAGAAGTGCCACCTCTTGAGACTATAGCTGACACATTGATGCAGGCTTCCATGGACTGGCTGTAGCAGTATGTTGATCGATAGCCTCATCACTGCTCACCTCTAAATGCAGCCTGGCTGCTGGCTTCTCCGTCAGCAGGTGGAATTCCTGAAGTGCTACTCATAGTTAACATTATGCAATGAGTGTCTGACTATATCGTCTAGTATTGCTTGGTGTTTTAGGGGAGGTTTTTTTAATAGGTGTGTGCTCATACTAAGCTTGCAGGCGGTATTTTTCCAGGCAATACTTCTGAATTATTATAGTGTGTCAGATATAATCAGTTTATTTTACTGGAGTGACTAATACTCTGTTGCGAGGCCAGAAATTACATCTCACCTTCTTGTTGCAGGTAGTCGGTCTTCTATTGCATCTTCATTTTTATGGCTCAGTTGGAGGAAAACTTCTGCAGTTTTCCATTAGGAGAAAAACTTGTATCTTGGCATATCTGTGAAAACTCCACGTACAGGTCAGTCAGGTTCCTTGGCTTCCGGCCTTAGTAAGCATTTACTCCAGTTCCAGGCAGCCATGTGTGCCTCTGTGTTGTTGGAAAAATCGGTCATTACAGGGCTACCAGTGCTCCTAGGGCTGTACTCTGGAATAGCATTTTTGTTCGCTCTAGAGCTGTTGTGAACATCAGTGTTTTCAGGCACACTGCTGTGAAACCTGTATCTGCGATACTCCTAAGATTGCCAGAGACTGCAAGGATTAAACTTCTGGTGTAGAAGCCCTCAGAGCCCTGATTTAAGCTAGGGCTTAAGAGTATTTCTGTGTTCCTGTGCCAGAGCAGAGATCTGAGTTCTTCCTAGAAGACTTGGGACAGTTTTGCAGGTGTCTGGCTCTGCTGGGGTGCCTGCCCTATGAGGCCAGCTGACCTTGGCTCCTGCAGCTGTGAGCGAAATCCACCACCTCTAGTCCGGGGCTGGGGCTGCTGGTGCAGCTGCAGGAGCTGGGGAGTGCTCTGTGCTGTGGAGCCTGTCCCTCTGAAATAGTTTGGGGATTTTGGCTCTCAAGAAATTTTAAAAACTTGGTATTGGCTAGATTTGAACCGAAAGCAGTTTTTTTGAGGAAGCTTTTCTAAAAAACTGGAAATGGTATTTCCGCCAGCTCTGCTAAGCACCATTCCGTTGGAGAGCCTTTCACTTGAAGTAACACATGCGAGAGTCTTGTGTCTGTATGCGTTTGCCTCAGCTAACAAGTCTCTCCACATTTGGTACGTACCAGTTCTTAGTATTCCACTGCTGCAGAAGGAAAAACAGGAGAGAGCTTAAATCCACAAGGCATCTGTTAAGGGTAGCAGAGCAGGAGGTGACAGGGAAGGTTTGCTGCTAATGTCGTCACTGATCCTGATGATCCCAGTCATGGGGTTGTCTTACTAATCTACTGTATTGCAATAGTCTTTTGCTATTTGAGGTAAGCTTAACTAATCACTGACACGGCCACCTCCTGTGTAGCTTTTCCTTCCTATGAGTGCATGCTTTTTCAAAGCCGAGTCCTGTTGCTGTTCAGAAATGGTATTGAATTACCAGCTGGCTGAGAAAATAACACATCACTATTTAAAGCTAATATTTGCTTGCAAAAATAACATTAAGATTAAAAACACTGCCTAAGAGAGATTAGTGTCTATTTTAAAACTGTTGAGGTCAAAAGCATAGTGAAGCCCCTGAAAATGAGAGCATTTTAGCAAAGCCTCCTCTCATGCCATGATACAGGATCACGTACTGGCAAGATGGGTAGAATGTGGCAGCTACAGAGTTGCTTTGGCAGATGGCATAGTGAGAAAGTAGAGAATTAGATGTTCTATGTTTGAAGTAGTACTATTGCATGCGCATGTTTGTCAATAGAGATTAAATCCAGGAGACAGGAGGCGGGGATGGATTTAGTTTCTGTGGGCTTCTGTAGTTCTTAGAGTTATGTTCCTGTATAAGGTCTTGTAACATAGAAATGTTACATCAGAAGAACTGGTAGTTTTTTTTCTGGAAGTATTTTTGCACTGGCTGGCATCCAAGGAGGCTGCGGTAGTTTTGTTCATCTTGAGGACCTAAGACACATTTTACTGTTCTCCTTCTATCAGTCCCTCATTTACTGTTCATCCCTGGATCAGACTTTCTTTATGCTCTGTGCCCTCCAGAATGGCCACCACCAGAATGCGTGCAGGTGGTCGGGAGCACCAGTGTTAGAGCTGTGACTTCATTGCCATCTGATATTTACTGCATCACCATGGGCTCTGGTATTGAAGGTGGGAGGATTCCACGCTGGTGGCTGCGGTCTCATCCTACGCAGATGCAGGCAGTTCTGGGAGTGTTTTGCTGCCGTAACTTCAGTGTGAGTTGCATGCGGGTTTTGAAGAAAGGGTTCTTTTGTCACTTTAAAGTCCTGTTACTGCTTTTTGGTCGTATCAGTTCTGCATTGCCAATCCTGCAGTCATTGCTGACTGACAAACCCAGAGCTGTTCTGCTAAGCAAGGCTGCTCCAGATAAAGGGTAAATAAGAATAACCCTTTCTTGCCTATCATGCTTCCCAGCCACTGCAAGGTGGCACAAAAGCTATATTTTCTGTTTGTGCAGTCTCAGTGCGTCATCCTGGTTATTAATGACTGTTTTGGTCGTGGAGCTTAGCAATTTGTTTTCTATCCTGTCTGACAGGAATTCAGAGGCGATGCCGACAGAACTCATAATCAGGGAAAAAAACTGCAAAACTTTGCTGCAATTACTCCTCTAGTCCCAGAATTATTCTTGTTCCTCATTCTAGGCAGTGTCCCATACAGCAGTATTTTATCAGTGCTAATTTAATGTCAGTGGTGTACCCTTCCGGAGAAGGTGATGTTCTGTGGGGAACTAGCGATTGTGGTTAATTCAGGCCAGCACAAGAGTTGTGTGGACAGGATGGTTAACATGTAAACTAAAGCAATGTAGTAAGCTCCTGTATTTGATCTGAAGGAAAGGATTTAATTTAATCGAAAACGAGGACACAGAACTGACATGTAAATCCTGTTCTTTGCAAGGCAGTTTCAAAAGAAAGCATCTTCCAATGGGTAATGCCTCTCTTCTTGGCAGCCCGTACATCTCTTCCTGGGACAGTGGATGACACTGTGCCTAAAATAACATAGCTAGCAGTGTGTGATTGAGTGGAAGATCTTGTAAAAGCCATTTATTAGAAAGAACAAGTTTTCCTTTAAGAGCTTGTTTCTATAGCCTTTTATTTTGCTGCATTGTCCCAGATATTTTTAGTTTCCCATTTGCTTTAAAAAAGGAGTTCTCTGAACTCTTAGAATCATAGAATCATTATGGTTGGAAGAAACCTCAAAGATCGTCAAGTCCAACCGTACACCTGATGCCACCCAAAGTCTTCAGACTTTGTGTAGCTTTCTGAATTGATCGCGTATAAAGGTATTTCAATAACTTGAAGCTTTTTGGTTTTGTAGTTCCAAGAGAGAGATTTCCCCCTTGCAGCTTTTTTAAGTGCTAACATGTTTATAAGGTGCTCTTGGGCTGAGGTCTGTGCTAAGTTGTCCTTGTTACTCAGGAAGTATTAGGGTAGCAGTAAGTGAATTTCAAAATGAAAAGTCTGGCGTTTTTTTACCTTTGGTTGTACTTGTTGAGAGTTTCTGTGTGCTTCTTTCAGACTTCAGAGAATACCACTTCATATTAACCTGTTCTCAACATACTACATGAAAAGCGTGTTTCTAGCCAATGAGGGAAGCAGAGGGCTCCTTCCAAAGCAATTTCCCTACCATTTGGAGAGGTGGTTGAATAATACAAAACTCTGGCTATGAGTCTCTCTTGTAAAATGCATAGCGTTCATCTAATGAAAAGTGCTAAGTAACGACTAAGTTATTTTTTTCCCTTGCATCTAGCAGTGCTCTTCCTACAGCACTCCTCGTGTCTGAGAAGATTATAAAGCATGTGATGTTGTGCTTGGTCTTGAAATGTAGGACGTGTAGTACTCCGCTCAGCACAAGTTCCAGGAGAGAGCTGTGACCTTGAGAAAATGGGAAGCTTCTCACATGTAATTTTGATTTACAGCCATGTTGATGATATTAAATGTGGCCTAGGTAGTTTAAATGTTGGCTACCCCTTTAACAGGCAGAAATGTAATTGTAAATGCTGCATAGTTGTTGCCTTTGCCTCTGTCTAAGCACTCTTCTTTTTGACTTGTGAATGTGGGGGTTTTTTGACTTGAAAATACTCAGATGATTTTAATTGTCTTGCTTATTGGATTCATGGCAGCTGGACAAGCTGATCTGTTTGAATTGTTACGAAGTACCTTCTCCTCTGCTGATCCCCTTGGATTGTTATGAAGTAGCTTCTCCTCTGTACGGAGTCTGAAGTACAAAGAGTATTTTAAAAGGTTGACACAATCACAGGGAAAAGTCTACAGAGTTCTCATCTTTCAAATGTTTATTTGAAATGTCTATTGATTTTTACATATTTTTAATAAAATGAGATTTCAAGGGCAGCTATTTTTCTAAAAATTCTATACTACAAAGGAGCTAGTGTAGAGTTTTATGGAAATTTTATTGAAAAGTGTAATTGAATGGTTGTTAAACATTTAGTGTTGCATTATGATATTGACTTCCAAACTTCTGTGCAACCAGAAAAATACCCACAGAACTGTTTGTGTAATATGCATTTCTTGCTGAATGCAGTATTTTCCTTCTCCCAGTTATGGTTACCTTGCTGTTGATTATGGATAGAAATCCATATAGCTTATGTAGTTCTTTTCCTTCAAAGGACTGGCCATTTGATGATGGAGCACCACCCCCAAATCAGATAGTTGACGACTGGCTAAACCTGTTGAAAACCAAATTTCGTGAAGAGCCTGGATGCTGTGTTGCTGTTCACTGTGTTGCAGGGTTGGGAAGGTTGGTATTCTGCTGCCTTGTTTTATACTGGACTTAAAGTTAGTGCATTGGCTTGGGAGGTAGGTCAGGGAAGGAGTTAAGTAAATGCCAATTTCTCTGTTTTCTCCCAAATAACACTTTAAAGCAACAGCATCATTAAAGCAAGAGACTTATTGCAGCTTAAAAATCTTCAGTAATTTCATAACTCTGATCAAGGATGAAAGGAAAAACTTGGAGAGATTGTTCAGAACACTTCTGTCAATCATGAATGACAGGAGCAGTTAAGAGATGCTGTTAATTTGAAAGTATATGTCTTTTTGCTAAAACAATAACACCTCTTGTGCTTCTTGACAAATGGAATATATGTGTATAATACAATTTCTAAGGCTGTACAATAGTGTTTTTTTAAATTTCACCCTGTTTTCAACTGGTATACCATTAAGCATGTGGTAATTAAAAAAAAAACCCCACACCATTTGGAAAAACTGGTTCAATTACTGTCTTACTCTAAAGTGGCTTCACTTCAGTTTCAGCAAGAGTTAGGCTTGTATTTTTTGCTCACATGCAGACTGATGTTTCTCTCCTCACCACTCAAAATATAACTTCCTTCTTTGGGAAGAACTTGCTTTCAAGATGAAATAAAAAAAGACTGATTCAGGAAAGCTAAATGCTACATTCATATTCTCAAATGTAATCTCTGAATGTTATGTTTATCCTGTGGGCTAGGAGGAAATGGAGCTTAAGTGTTAGTATTCTTACATTAACTATGAGTGTTAATATTTAAGAATATGAATGAGTGGGCAAGAAAAGTGGAATAAAGAAGTCAAGCACAGAGTTGGAGTGCGTCAGGTGCTTAAATTTCTGCCTCTAGGGAAGAACAGGTTGGGGAAATGTAGAGGGAAGAACAGCCAATATTTAAAGACAGAAGAGCCAGAAACCCAAGGCAACTAACATTTATTTATCCATTTCTGCTCTATTTTTATCTGAGGAACAACTTTAGGAAGGTGGCTTCGTTTAACTCAAGTGATTTTTCAACTCTTCTGTTCCTTGCATAGTATCTAGCCAAAGGGTACCACAAGCTTTCCATCTTCTGAATGTTGCATCAACTGGTGTTGTGTATCTGTTCCTTACAGAATGACCTTTTTGCTGTTGTTCTTGGACTACTTCTGGCAGAGCGAAAAGCAAGAGCTTTACAGATTTTGCTTTAATCTGGAAAACTGCCTACCTGTAGTAGGAAATTGAACTTCAACTATAATAAGAGACAGCTTTTTTTTTTTGTTAGTGACTTTTGAAGTTTCAACTTGTTTCCTTTGGAAAGTGAATAATTCTCTTTATGCAGGTGCAGCATGACAGTGATAGTGAGAGTTGTTTCTCCTGAACTATGTTTTTGTTTAGCAATGAGTACAAGTTATCCAATTGTTACCACCTGTTTAATCCTCCACTACTCAGAGGTGCCTGTTGCAACTGTGTGTATTTAGTGGGGTGAACATCAATCCAGGAGAAAATCAGTGTGTACTGTGGTTTCTGCTTGCTTGAAAAGCCAGATCTTTACACTTAACCGATTTCCAAAATGTGGACCCTGAAGCAGAAAGTTTTACTCTATTGTTCCGTGTACAGCATATAATTAAAAAAAATTTATGTCATCTGTTCAGTGCTTCATAGATATTTCTCACGTACAGCTGAATCTGCAGTGTCATAAGAAGCAAAATGCATGCCAGAGGTATTACACACTTGTGTTAGCAAAGTAGAAAATTAGGTTATAGTGAAATGAGAAAGTGTAAAAATCTAGAATTATTGTTTCATGCCCAAATGCTAAGAGACTGTAGATTTTTTTTGTGTGTGTGCTGGAAACAGAGCTGTATACTAAAAGACATTTTACATTAGGTACTCTGCAGGCAAATATCATTGTGTAGATAATACTTAGAGAAAATACTTAAGCTATCTGTTCATAGATAATTTGATGTATTTTGAGGGGCTCAAGATACTGTTTCTCTGAATCTTCCTTGAATATTGATTTCTCCTTTAGGGCTCCTGTACTGGTTGCACTTGCTCTCATTGAATGTGGAATGAAGTACGAAGATGCAGTTCAGTTTATAAGGCAGTAAGTGAAACTTCCCCATTCTCAAGAAACCTCTCAGTTTATTTTGTATTTGAACAGCATACATCTTGAGGAAGGTTTGATAGATTTCTGGTTTGTTTTCTAGTAGCTATATCCTGACAATAACGGGCATGACTTTGACATTAATGCTGAGGCTTGTGCCCTTTCCTCTGTTTAGAGATTAGGATTAAAAGGTGATGAGGTTGTTTTTGTTTTTGTTTTTTTTAATCTGGGTTTATATATTAAACCATTGACCTAAGACTCAAAGATTTTGAACTTGGGAGGAAAAAATGTCTAGACTGGGGCTGTAAAAACTGTGGATGAATTGAACATGGGCTAATTGCTCCTAATTACAAAAAGAAACACAACCAAACAAAACCCCCCCGCAAAAACATATCTAATGAGGTTGAGACCCCAAGCAGAATTTCTACAGCAAGTGGGTGAGCACCAGCACTCCTAAAGGTGTTGTGGGTGAGTGCGTTATCCACCCAGGAAATGTCAGCAACCACCCTGTCTGGAAAAGAACAAAACTAGTGAAGGATGAGACTACAGAGCTCTGTTGGTTTAGTGATAACATCAAATCTTGAAATGAAGCCCAGCAGGTAAGATTATGTTGAATGAGTTTTGCCAAAAAAGCAATTCATCCTTTTATGGATTCCCAGGGTCTTCAGTTATCTTTGTAAACTATATTGCTGTCAACAGATTTTTCTGAGTTTTTTCTTTCTTAAATTCCTTTTTTCTCTTCCTGGGTACAGTACCGTTTATACTGAGAAGCTCTTTTCTGAGAACCTCTCATCTGTTTGTATCTGAATGTCATGGTCTTACTTAGCTAATGTAATAAGTAGCACATACATCTGCAAGGAATGGGTGAGCTCAGTGTTGTTCAGTGACTGCTGTTGGTGATGGAAATAAACTCTCCCAATCCAAGAAAATATGCTGAAATTTTTTAACTGGATTTTGATTTTAGTATTGGTATGTAGGTGACGAACTTCGTATGCTGGCCTGGTTTACCCTTTCTCAAAGTGTCAGTGGATACAGAACCAAGCCAAAATGCTGTTTTGTAGATACAGAAAAGCTTTGAAACGAGGACTAATCTGCCTTAGAATGTATATGGTGATTGAAGCAGTGCTTTTTCCATTGATATTAGCCTTCATTCTCTTTGTTTTAGGAAAAGGAGGGGAGCTTTCAATTCCAAACAGCTGCTTTACCTTGAGAAATACCGACCTAAGATGCGATTACGCTTCAAAGATGCCAACGGTCACTGCTGTGTTCAATAAAAAAAAAAAAAAAAAATATCTCTCTCAAACGAAGGCAGAAGTTAGCATGGCTGTTTTCTGGACTCTTGGCACCTGGAAATGTGAATCTGGAATCAAACTACGTCATCAAATTAGTGGTGGAGTCAGTGCTCCTCAACCTCTGTCCTAATGGTGGTGATGATTGAAAAAAAAATAAAAATAAAAAAAAAATTAAGAGAAACATTTCAGTGAAGGATTGTTTTCTCCTTAAGCTGCAGTTTGAACATCTGCAAGGAGAAAAATCAGTTTCTGAACCTTCTGTATTTTTAACTTTTTAAGAAAAGAAATAAAGGAAATTTTATGTCTAAGGAAAACCAGCAGAGCATTGGCTTGTGCAGAAACTATTTTCTTGATTTGAGGAAAGTACCCCACAGTTAGGGCCTGATACATTAATTCCTATGGGGCTCTTTTAAATGGAGTTGCCTTTCTTTTTTAACCTTCCTGGGACCTGGCAGAGAGATGTGAGGAGGAGCCTTTATTGCTGTATGGGAGCAGTCTGACAGCCTTAAGCCCAGCGTGGGCATATTCTAAAGATTTGGTGATGTCTGTGTTGTATGTCTACGTGGTGTTCAGACTCTGCAGGTGTGAAAAACCTTCCTGGTGGGCTTTAACGGAAGACTCACTGCCTAATGTCTTTGGTGAATCTGCTAAAGGCCTTTTCTGATTGGTGGGAGATGGTGCTTTTAACTGTATGAGTGTGTGTGTGTATGCACGTGTGGGCGCAATTTTATGTGTATGTATGTCAGTCTTATTTTTCCAAAGAATTTGGCTGAAATGTTAATTGTCTTTCTGTTGCTAGATAGAAAATCTATCCCAGCACAAGACTGGTGTTCAGAAGTGTCCTAGGTGAGCAAGGGGCAATTCAGACAAAGACTTAAAATTAATTTATCTGTCATAAGGAAGAAGAAAAGGCTTTTTGCTGCTGTCCAGATTCTCTCCCTTGCTGAACACAGTAAATCAGGATTTGGGGGGAGGGTCTCATTTTTATCATGTATGAGGTAAGGATGGTGTGCACACAGAAGTGCGGTCCGTGAATAAATGCCTGGTGTGGGTGTTTTCCCAGACTAGCCCTCATGTACAGTTCAGTTTAACCACTGATTGCCTTGTTATTTTTTTATTAGGCTCTTTAGGAGGGAGAATCTCTAGTTACACACCAACATGCCTATCCTGTATTCACCACTGGCAGACCATAAATATGCTGATTTTTGGGGTGTGGACCGGCACCACCTTCTCTTTGTAGAGCCATTGGCGTTAGTGAATTAATCAAGATAAGTCATTTTACAGCCTCTACTAAGCAGTTTCAGCCATGCTGCTTCTACCAAACACATTAACTTAGTGCCCTGCCCCAGTAGTGACCTCATATGCTCTCAACTTGACGTTATGTCTGTAATATTCAGCCTTTGAAGGCTTTGAATACAGGTTTAGGGTCACTCTCCTGAGAGCTTTTGCTGTGGAGCACCGAAGGCTTTGTTGGTCTGTGCCTGTAGTAGGTGTAGACTGGTACCCGTCTTTTACCAATACCTCAGCTGCTGGCAATGTGAACTGCCTTCATAGAATTTCTTCCTGTTCTAGACTTCCGCTTTTAGTCTACAGCTTAACTGCGCAAACGTTTTCAGAACACAGGTAATGGACTTGTAGAATTCTGTTCTTGGAAGGGATTTATAAATTTAAGCAAAAAGTAATGGTACTTGTCAAGCCTCTCACCTTACAGATACACCAACAGACCTGTTTGAGGTCCATGGCTAGAAAACACTGCACTCCACAAAACTCTGCCTGTACCCTGACTCAAGCTGTGTTGTTGTACTGAGTTCCTTCCTCCCTTTAGGATGTGTAACCTTTCTGATTTCTTTAATAGATAAAGGAGACACGAAAGTGTTTGTGATGTCAATGCCTACATTAGGGAAATATCGTATCTGGTAATGTTTGAGTCAATGTGGAAGGTAGATGATGCCGAAATTACCTAATTCTGGCCTTTACCTTCCCCTTGCAAGCTAGAAACGTAATGTTCTAACTGTTTCTGAAAATTAAAATTGATGTTTTTAGTGAAATGAAATACTGGTAGTTAAAACCAATTTGACGAATGATGGAAGTCAGATTGGAGGGGAAGGTGTTGAGCTGGATTGAAAACCAAACCCCAAGCCCTTCTGAAGAACAATAAAAAATTTTACGTGCTATATGTATAACTTTGCATTCTTCCCCCTAGTTTTACTCTGATTTATAATGTACTAATGATCATATGCTATGACTCTGCAGCCTTAATTGAGGAAAAATAGTGAAAAGTGCAGACTGTCATACAGTGTAGACACAAATGGGGGGAGTGTAATTGTGATCGATGTCCAGTAGGCACAATACTTGGTTCAGCACTTGAATGTAGTGCAATAAAGTTCTTGCAGTAAAATGTCTTCCCTCCGGCTCTTGATGAATTTATTACAGCTCATTAATGTTAAATACTCTTTAATCTGATTTCTAAAGGCCTTTGGACAAGTTTGTCCATGCCCCTTTTATTATTGATCACTGTTGGGTACCATATGGCTTGGATTTGCTGGTGGGAAAGGCTGTTCTACCTCTGAGAAGGGGGATCAGTGCTGCAGACAGGAACAGTTCTCTTCCTTTCAAATTCTCTGTTTTAAAAACGTGTAAACTTACCTTTAAACAAACAAAACAACCCCCCAAACCAAACAACAGCTCTGAACTTTCCCAAGAACTGTCAAAGATCTGTTGCAAAACTTTCTGTTGTGCCCTGGATGAGACTAGACACCATGCCACCTGGCAGAGCTTGAACAGGGTTATTGTTTCGGGGTAACAATGAGTGAGTTTCTGGAGTCCTGGATCTCAGTCAGTTCCCCTTCCTTGGGAGTGGAAAGCCACTGCGTTGATCTGTGTAATTTATTTAAATAATACTAAGGTGCTGTTTTCTGGGCTTCACAGATAACAATCCAATCAGCTTTGCTTTGCTGCCATCAAAGAAATATGTTACTTGCAAATCGGTATTGTGTTTCTAATATTTATCAGATTTTTCCCACTAGTGTACTAGAACAAATTTTTCGTCCCTGTTGGCGACGAGATAATAAACCACTTTGTGAGACTGGCAGCAGTAACTGTGGAGTTCCAGCTCCTCTTTGTATTTGTATAGGTTGGGTGTTTGTGGGAGTTTTTTGTTGTGTGTTTTTTTTTTTTTTCTTTGTATGACATTAAACTCTTGCTTTGTTTTTCAAAGCTTCTACCTTTTTGGTTACCATGCACAAAACTGAAATGTCTTGCTAGTCAAAGGCTACTCAGTATAAAAAAAATATTGTGCACTTAATTGGAGCTGAGATTTCCTTGTATGATATGAGTTACTTGTTTCTCTTGTTAATTTTTTTTTCACTAACATCTAGGCGGCTTCAGATACTGATACTTTAACTGGAGATAACACTTAATCACATGCATATTTCTATCACTTAAGATGCTACTTTTGCTGCAATTAAGAATGATGAGCAGAGTGGAGTGACTCCGCATGGGGAAAGAAACTGCAGGAATCATGGCTGGCACTTCTATAATAGTGTATGTTCTTTTAACTAGAAAATTATAAATCATTTAACTTTGTCTTAACGCTTGCAAATCACTTCCAGAGAGCATTTTAAGTACATGTTTCTTGGGAGAGGGGAAGAATAGCTTTTTGTCAGTAAACAGATGTTGAAGTAAAATGTTAAGGTTTCTATCAAACCTGTTGTCTCTGTAGATTTGTGTAGTGTCGCCGCTCCAGACAGCAATGCTCACATGCCTGCTAAAGATGGCCAGAGCCTTGGCTCTGGGTTGTGACGTTCCGTGACAAGACAGAAAGACACTTGGGCTAAGGCACTTGGAATACGCAGTTATTTGCAGCCGAGCTCCATAGTAAGTTACAAGACTCTGGTAGATGGATTGCTGTCTTCATCTGTATGTCTTGGAGGCTGGCTTGGCTGAGTTTGTAGGGGTATAAAGTTGGGGACTCCTTGACTCTTCTATGAAAATGGAGATGTCAGGGAATCCTGTCAAGAACTGGATTTATGTCTGGTTAAGTCCCAAAGGGACATAACAGGTCATGCTTTTCACAGGTGTATCTGGAACACCTTTCGTTTTAGGCTATGTAGACATCGTTACCTTGATAGTCCTATGTTAAATGTTTCTGCAAAAACCCAAACCTTTGGTATGGAGCTAAATCTTAGGACCTGCCCTTGTTCTGACTGCTTGTTTGATCAGAGCTTAAATCACCACCATCAATGAATCAAGTGCTGTAAGTGAAGCCTTAATTGTTTTTCATGCCGTATATTTAGTGTGGATCCTGGTACTACTGACTGGTGGGACAAGATTGGAAAGAAAACTAGGCTATGTGACAGAGTTGTTGGTTGGTGCAGGTGCAGCACCCAGGGCAGAAACTCCCCATCCTGGGCTTTTGCATTTCTCTTTGAACTCTCGAGCAGATCCTCGCTTCAGGGTTGTGGTTGGTACCAGGTAATTGAGCACCCGAGCACTTTGCAGGGCTAGTGGTGTGAATGGCAAGGAGCTTGCCTCTTGAAGAAACAACTGTGGGTGAGATTGAGAGGCTGCTTTGTTTTGGCAGTGACTGCAGTGATCCTGGCAGGATAGCTAGAATTTGAGGTGGCTGTGTCTGTGCCCTTTCTTACAGGGCTTAACTCTGTAGATGGAGGCAAACGAGGAACACCGGGAGCCAGCGCCAGAGGAAAATCCCTGATCCAAATCTGTGGATGGATTAGAAGAGCTCAAGGGAGAGGAAAAGAACCAGGTAAGGAATTGCTCCTTCTCTGTCCAGCAAGGGAAACCAAAAGCACTGAGTAATACTGTGACTCCTTTAGGGCTGCACAAAGTCGACAGAGAGTGTGAATCTGGTTTGAGGATGTGGGACATCCTCGGTGGGTCCTGAAGCCGCTTTGCTGGGAAGCAGGGCTGAACGCTGATGACTGGAGTCCTTTACTGAAACAATTCTGTCACTGACAAGCACCCTGAGGGGATGTGCATGCAGTGAGTTGGAGGATAGGATGTTGTGAAAGGCCCCCTGCTCCCAGCAAAGCAGGGAGGCTGGAGCTACTAACATCTGCAGTATTTTGCAGAGAACGGAGAGCACAGCGTGAACCCCTGGCTGAAATAA